CTGAAGAACGTCGTACAGGCCATCTAGGTCATTAGCATGGTTATAATAACTCACAAGGGGTATTAACAATACGTTTGGTTTATGAATACATACATATCTTCAAATGGTTTTATTTAGATAAAACTACATTACAATATTTTCCAGTACAATACAGTTTACATTTCTGAAAATATGCATTTAAATGGTTTTATAAAGATATAAAACTACATTATACTACTTCAGAGTACAGCAATACTTATACATTTTCAGTCTTAGGGTTCCTAAATCTACAATTCACTTTAAAAGAAAATATTGGATTTTCTGGAAGAACACACTATCATTTTCAAGAAACAATGACATATTTTTCTCATACAAAATGCTTATGAACTCACCAACTTAAATGTTGACACTTTTTCAAACCACTTGTATTCTTAGGGAATCAGTAGACAGGTACCCACACAAGTTTTGTGAAGATGGAGCATAACAGTGTTACGTCTTATATTTTTTGTCGTATGTTTTTGGAGTCAAACAAACAATGAATCGAATTCAATATAAATATTAAATTATCAATATGATGGTTGTAATGCTTTGATCTCTATTATTCAAGCTTATGATATTTTACATGAAAGTCATCCACCCCAGACGTTTCCGCCGTTCTGGTTTGGGGGTGTGACACAACCTTCACCCCAATAAACCCCTAGATCTGTGACACCTCTTTCCTCCACATGCCCAAAAGTATATATCTGTCATTCCTACATCAGTGATATCTCCTCCGTCACCGACAAGAACCTCCGTCGCCGGTAACACCTCTTTTCTCCACCAGTGACGTCTCCATTATGTTGTCATAACCGTGAGGCAAATCCATTCTGATTTGATGTCTTTGTCACCGAAAATTGGTGACAACCTGACATGACAACTTCTCTTCTCTGAGTAACTTAGATGACAATGCTATTAATTTTTCATATTCTTTTCCATAGTGCACGGTGGTTATCTGTGTTGATTCAAAGTTTTGCAGTTCCAAATATTTAATTAAAGCATGGTAAACAGTATCTTCATGTTGGCGATTTGAAACCCTAAATTCAGAATTGAGATTTTTTCAAGAACATGATGGTAGGATATTAATTAAAGCATGACCAGTTGCTTCACAATTTTCGTAATTTTTAAACATTCAATTTATTTCGAAGAAGTTTGATGTTCCACCAATTGAATCTGCATATAGGTTCGGGTGAATTTGCAAAATTGAATCTGCATCTTGGTTCCAGGTCATCGACTTTCTTGTGGTATTCCAGTTTGGTGCTACAACCAAGAGCAAAAATAATCATGAAAGAGAGGGAAATACATACCATATTCTTCCTTGTAGCATTGAATCTTCTTCCTTGTAGCACTAAATCTGGTTTGTTACTAATATTTTGTGTCCAAAAGGGTTAGGGTTAAAATGGGTTTGCTTTGACCGATTTGGTTCCTGAATCCAAGAATCGAAGTGCAAGGTAGTCCGTTGTCGTAGATACGGTGGTTGAGGAGGAGCAGACTATTTTTTATTATCCATTTTCCAATCTGTACATACCCTTATCTCCCTAATTTTATGAATCAATTAAGAACAATAGCATTTCCAATTCCCTCTATAATCTATGAATCAAAAATAAATTGGTTATTTATTTATTTATTTTTCTTCTTTATTCTTTGAAGAAACCATTTGATTTTCTCATGTTTGTAAGCAAATCGTTTGGAGAAAATGAAAAATATTATTGATTTTTCATCTATGCGTTTTATGGGGGGTAGAAGAGGAACTATTTTTCAATAAACTTGACGGTGGTTGATCTCTGGTTAGGTACAGTAGATGATGGTAGTGTAGGCAGTAAGATAAAGTGGGTGCTGTGGGAGAGTTATATTAATTTGATCTTTTATTAATATTTCATTTTTATAATTGAAATGAACCAAGTAAAATGATAAAATAAAAAATAAAAAATAAAAAGGGTAAATAAATCATTTTATATGGTTCAGGGACCATCCATGCAAGTTTTGGAAACGATAGGGATCATAACCGTCATTAATCGTTTCATGACCACCCCAGGCTGTATCAAGCCTGCTACTTCCTTGTTGATAATCTCATTCCGTTCCTGTGCCATTAATCGTTTCTTCTGCTTCATAGGGACAAATTCGGGCTTAACGTTCAGTCTATGCTCTATTATCGCTCTTGGGATGCCCGTCATATCCTCCGGTTTCCAGGAAAAAATATTTGCATACGTCCGTAAGAGTTTTTTATCCCTTCCTTCAAGTCTTCCGGTAAGGTCGACCCTATTCTCACCTTCTGATCTTCACACTTTGGATTTATAGGTACCCTTTCCTCCTCTGCCGAGGAACTACCTTTGGCCGTCGAACCCTCACGTCCTTGTCTCTGTTCTGCAACATGACTCTGATCCGATGGACACAGAGGAATAGGGATGAGCAACGGGCCGAACCCGGACCGAACCGACCCGAAGACCAAAAACCCGAAGACCGAAAATCGTGAATTACCTTACCCGAAAACCGGATCGTTTTTGGGTGTTGCGGGTCCGAGTTTGGTCCGGTCTGGTTCCGGGTACTAAACCGGGTTTCGGGTTTTGGACCGAATTAGACTTTGGTAGTGTTGTTGACGGTTTCGGTCCAGTCTTGTTCTTGATACCAAACTGGGTTTCGTATGTTTGTTGTTTACGGTTTCAGGTTTTGTTTGTCATGTTACTCTCTAGCATACTATTTCAAATGATAATCTTATTACGTAACATCCATCATTCGTATATTTGTTATTTGCACAATTCGACTAAAAAAATACATAAAAGAAGATGAATACAACGGTACGCTGCGGGACTCTAATTGGAACACGTGAAAATAAGGTGTATGCAAAGAAATATAAACGTTATTAAAAACTACACTATTGTTAATAAAAAAAATTGCACTATTTTTATATAATAAAATATGTACTTAACATCACTATTAAAAAAAACTGCACTATTTTTGTAAAATAAAAATGCACTATTTTTATAAAAAAATTTACACTTAACAACATTGTTTTTATTAAAAAAATACAACATTATTTAAAAAAAAAACTGCACTATTTTTATTAAAAAAATTGTACTAGGAAATAACTTTTGGTTTTGCGAGAAAAAAAAATCAACACCATAATGCGGTCAAGAGAAGAGGCCGAAATCAAAAAAAATTGACACTATAATGTGATCCACAGAAGAGGTCGAATCAATTCAATCGGAGAATAAATTTTTTTATTTTGGTAATTCTCGCTTACTGTTTGTCGAAAGAAAAATTATAATAACTTTTGGTTTTCCGGTCCGGTCTGGGTTAAATTCTTTAATTCGGGTACGGTCATGTCCAAACCTGAAACCCGATTATTGATAAAAACCAAACCCGAAAACCGGCCCACTAATATGATAGTCCGGTTCGGTCCAGGTCCGGTCCCGGTTTTTTCCGGTCCGGTCCGGTCCCACGGGTCGTATGCTCATCCCTACAGAGGAATGCTTCTTAAAGTGATTACACCATGATCTGATGGGAACTTGAGTAAGTCGTGCACTGTCGAGGGCATTGCTTGTAATTGCCAAAATCTAGTTCTTCCAAGGAGCATGTTGTAAGGGGAGGGAACCTATATTATAATGAAATTTTCCAGGATGGTTTTGGTCAGGTTACTTTCATAGTTAGACAATGTAAATAAGAGGGATATTTGTCCCTACAGCCATACCACTTGCCCAACGAATCGCACCATTGATGAGGTGGCTCGCTTCACAAAACCTTTTACATCCGGGGGCAGCTGATCCATGCAATGTTCATTTATGATGTTTACTGAACTCCCATTGTCGACATATACCCTATGAATGAGGGTCTTCCCCACCGATGCTTTGATTATAAGTGGTTCGGTGCCTTCATGCCCCACCGGAACCTGGCTATTATGAGAGAGTTCCAAGTTCATCCACTTTCTTTTCTTCATCGACATCATTTTGTCCTTCAAACATATCATAAGTACCTCTGCATCGTACACTGCATTCTCCTTCTTTTCCGCCTGCTCTTCCTTATGTCGTCCTGTCCTTCCTTTTTCCTTTTCCATTTTAAGGCTCTCATAGTCCGCCGTATGGTGTCCCTTTTTCTTGCGAAAATCACAATATTGATTGGGTCTCGAGGATATCTCTTCGTATTCCTTGCTACTGTATATCTCTTATGATCTTTGGAAGGCTACACGTCATACGTCTCTTTCTTATATGAGGCATATTTCGTGTGCCTTCCTCGGTCTCGGTCTCCTCTCCTGTTCCCTCTATACCTCTCGAGTTGGTTCTTTGGGATATGGATGTACCTCTCTTTACGGTCGACCAGGCGTGAACCTCCCTTCTCAGTACGTCACTTCTCAGCACTTTCATCTACCTATCTTAAGAATCTGTTAACTTTCCTCATCATTTCCTCCGCGTTCGCACATTCTCTCCCCACCAGCTTTCTAAACAGCTCTCCTTCTAATAATCCATATGTGAATTCCACAATGATCATCAGGTCATCCTGGGTTGGCATTTTTCGGCTGATCTCGTTGAACCTTTTGAAGTAACCCTTATTGGACTCCCCTTCCCTTTGCCAACAGACGAATATAGCGTGGGGGTGTTGTTGAAACCTTCGTTGTTGTATGAAACTGTTGCAAAATTTCGTGTAAAGTTCTTCAAAACTCCCAATGCTTCTGGGCGGGAGACTTGCCAACCAATATCTTTCTGACCCATCGAGAGTACCCACGAAATATAGGCTCCATAGCTTAGGGTCCATGGGAATCATTTTGATCACCCACGGAAAGTTTGCAACATGGTTGTCTGGTCCCCAGAGCCGTCGTAAGGTTTTACCATGGGACCCTTTAATCCCGCCAGAATCGGAGTGTTATTTATTTCATCGGTGAATAGTGACCTAAAGTTCCATCCTCCAACCATTGCATGATGTTCCTCAGTGTATTGATGCTTCTAAAAAGCTTTCTTTCCTGGTTCGTCATCTCTCTTTTTATCTTCATTCCATCATTTACTTCGCCTGTCGCAGGAATCACTTGACTGATCCGTATGAATGGAAACATAATCCCACTCCTTATCCCTCATTTCTTTCTTCTGATTCTCATTTTCTTCACATCTCTTTTTCATTGCCTTGTATCGTTCAAAGTCCTCAAACTCCTTGTCTTCATTTTCGTGCTCTTTTGAAGTGCCTGCCATATCACATTTTTTTGACAAAAGTTGTCACCTGAGGTGTTTCCACCTGCGCTTCCAAAACTTGTATTCTTTGCAACAGACTTACCCCTTCAACTAAATTGTCGATGGTGTTGCCGGTAGTGACCATTTGTTTCGAGTCCGGCAGATGGCGCCACTTGATGAATATGGTTCCTCAGGGGGTTTGTACTGATTAATAAGGTAATGCTCATTCGTCTAAAGCCCTGTCGACTGAAAAAATAAAACAACGTCAAACGTTCACCGGGTGCTGAACCCGCAAGAATGCTCTGATGCTTAACTCAAATGCAAGATATGGGTGATCGTTATCGAATTATGAGTGAGATGCGGTTGCCGAGAGCATACCTGTTCGCGGTTGAGCTAGTCTGCCTTTATACTTCTTTTGCATGAGAAAATGGAGATGAGGACAAGCTGAACAGGTCCTCGTCTCATCGTTATTAATGCGCCCAGTGCCGAAGGTACAAAAGCAGTACTTATGAATTGTCGGCAGTCTTTTCATTCTCGTTATCTAAGTTATATCGAACCGTTGGTCCATGACAAGCTGTTTGTGCGTTGTTATGACTCCTTGACTTGACACTTGTGAATGTTAGTTTACAACGTTTCTCGCAAGTCAAGTGGTTCGGCTTCGTCTTGCATGGTTCAACAATCCACGATACAATTGTGCGGTACAGTGGTCCGGGTTCGGCTCGACCGAATCACTTCTGTTCGGAGGTGACATACCTCATTAGTTAACGAATAAAATTTGATAGAGTGAGCAATAAGGACCTTTAGTTAAGAGTTTTGAAACTACAGGGACCATCTGAGATGTTTTTTGAACTTAGGGACTATATCTCAGATTTTTGAAAAACACAAAGACTATTTATGAAGTTTTTTCAACATAAATTGTTATATTTAAAAAAAAGATTGTTATGTACAAATCACTTTCCTCCTAAATAAAATGGCAAACAAATTTGAGACGCAAGACTAGGCCTGGCAATGGAGCGGGTTTTGACCCTGATCCGATCCAAACCCTTAACAATTATACGGGTTTGGAGCATAGTTTTTGATCTGTTTACCCGTTAACGACCCATACCCGCTAACCCTTTTATTAAAAGGGTCGGATATGGATCATCCTCAATCCGCTCCATTTATAACCCGCCCCATATAAATTTTAGAATCATACATTATAGTTTATACTGCGTAAAGTTTACTTTAAATTCCAATCAAAAGTCCAAAGAGAAAAGGCCAAAAACTAAACTGTTTTTACATAGGACTCGAGGACTCAACTTCTAGACTTCCACTCTTCTCCCAAGAATCATGATGTTATTTCATTTATATTTCATCATGTAATCACCAATTTCATTTATAAATCAATAAATTCATTTATCAACCGGAAGAAAGTTTGTAATTCCTATTCTCTATCAATGCAATCAACGGTCAAAAACCAATCGGAAGTAACTACGATAATGATTTTAATTCCAATCGAAAGTCTATGAGTACATAATGTGTTTTCTAAATCAACATTTGTTTTATTTAATAAATGTGATTTTATGATTTAAGTAAAATGTGTTTGATTATTCAAAAAACCAACGGGTTACAGGGTGGGTTTGGATATCTGCTGATTCGGTGGATAAGGGTATGAATTTGATTATTCAAAACCCTGAGGGTTACGGAGCGGGTTTGGATCGGATTTTGGAATTTGTTAAAAGGGTTTGGATCAATGTCGATTCGCTCCAAACCCGCCCCATTGCCAAGTCTACGCAAGACAATAATGAGAGCATGAATCATATTTGAATTCTACATCCCATAAAGTATATTAGTCTCATATGAGTAGGGGTGGGAATTATTTGGTCCGGAACCGAAAAACACGAAAACCAAATCGAACCAAAATCGATTTCAGACCGAACCATATTCAAATTCGGTTTTTGGTTTGGTTTGAGACCAAACCGAATTGAAAATTTGATTTTTGGTTCGAGTTTCGGTCTCATGAAGTTTAAACCAAACCGAACCGAAAAATCGAATTTCATAAATCAACTAATTAAAAAATTTATTTTATATTTTACATTAAATAAATGTATTAATTATAAAGTAAAAATCATTTCAACCCATTTACTCCTCGGATCATTTTGTATGAAACTTTAGATTTTACTGTTTGTAACTTTAGGTTTCTATGTTAAAAACATTTTAATTTATGTTTGAAAATTTTTTAAGTTAATATTTGGTTTCATCGGTTTTCAAACCGAACCAAACCAAATTAGAATTTGGTTTTCGGTTTGGTCTAGAGAATTTGAATTCGATTTGGTTCGGTTTTCGAATTGTACAAAAAAAATTAAAACCAAAGAAACCGATTCGAGGAAACCGAAAAACCAAAAAACCGAACCGATTTCCACCCCTCCCTATGAGAAACCATTATGAGCATCAACCTTTATTCTCGTTGATGTCTTAATTTAAAAGATAAAGTTATTATTTGTGGCTAACTATTTTATTATGAAAAGTCATATATCTATTTTATTATGAAAAAAATATATATCTTTCAACCTTTTGTTTTTGTTTAATAATATGGAATCCATTAATCACATATATATATATATATATATATATATATATATATATATATATAGGTTTAGGTTTTATGAAAAACAAAAAACCCTAAAAATCATAAAAATACATAAAAAAAAATACTTAGAGATCACAAATCTTTTTTTTTGATTTTATATATATACAAAAATCGCAACTTTATTAACAAATTCGCTGAAATTTTTTTTGAAAAAAAACCAAAAAAAATTGATTTTTTAATTTTTTTTCAACGATTTTATTAAAAAAGCTGCGATTTTTGTATATATAAAGTCAAATTTTTTTTTTGATCTCTAAGTATTTATTTTATGCATTTTTATGATTTTTAGTGTTTTTTTGTTTTTCAAATAAATCTTTCCTCTATATATATATATATATATATATATATATATATATATATATATATATATATATATATATGTTTTGACCTAAGATGGATACAAACAAAATATTGGAGGATATTTGATTTTCTTTTGTTATGTTTTCTTTAATAAAAGCATCTAAAATTTAATTATTTTTCCGGTCTATATTTTGGCCTGTTATAACTTATAATCAATTAAAACTGTTACAAGAGAATTTTTTGCTAAAATTTAACGGTTTTAATAGAATATGTAGTACTTTTCATTTAAGACGCTAAAATTTATGACAAATTTTTTTGCAGTCACCAATTTAAGGTAGAAGATCAAAATTGTTGACATATAATTATAAAAGATGGTCAAACTTTTGTGGTTTTAACTGACAAAACCACAAAGAGCATATTAGCCAAGTATTTGGAAGTTAAACAAGTGTTAGGAAAATTTTGTTAGCTTTTACATTACAAAATTAGATGGAAACCAAATACTTAAAGACTTTGTTTAGCAAAAATAAGAGTTTGTTTGGGGTTACTTTTAAAATGACTCTTGATTTTTATCTTTTTCAAAAAGTTAAAAAATACTAAAAAATGTTTGAAAATACAAAAGTTCTTTTGAAATTAATTTTTTGTAAAGAAGAAAAAGATGAATTTTTAAAAGTTAGAAAAATGCGATTTTTAGCATTTTAAAAGTTAAATTACAGTCAAAAGTCAAGAAATACAACCCAAACATTTTTTAAAAACAACTTTTAGCTTTTTTCATATTCAAAAGCTAAAATCAAAAAGAAACTTTTACAAAAAGAATTTTTTATCTTAAAAAGTAATCCCAAACACCCCCTAAGCTTGCTTATTATAATTGGTTTATGTTTGAAAAATTAGCTAAAAAGTTAGTTGATAGCTAATAAGTTAGTTTATTAATTAATTGTATTTTGTAAAAAAAAATTGTAAATATAAAATTGATATAAATTGATATTTAGATATATAACTAAAAAGAATAAAAAAAAAGATATAAATAAGAACATATTTAGAATTTATTTGAAAAAACTTTACAAGCTTATTAAAATGTATCTCAAAATAGCTTATAAACTTGCTTATAAGCGAGCTTTTTATAAGTTATTTTGAGATAGTTTTTGATAAGTTTGTAGAGTTTTTTCAAAAATATTTTAAATATTACCTTAATTGTATCTATGTTTATTTTCTTTTAGTTATATATGTGAATGTCTATTTATGTCATTTTACATTAATATATTTTTTACCAAACACTATTAATCTATAAGCTAGTTTATCAGCTATCAGTTAACTTTTTATTTAGCATCTCAAACATAACGTAAAGCTTCGAAAAGCTAAACGCTTTCAAAAATTACTTGGAGTAGTTTTTAAATTATAAGTTTCTTTTTAAGAAAAAAAAAATAAAAGTTAAAAACTTTTACTACGAAACATTTTTTTTAGTTTTTCTCAAAGAATGTGAAAACCTCTGTGCCAAACACACATAAAAATATCAAAAAAACATGGTTTAACGTATATTGTCCTTTAGTAACGAGCTTGTTATCAAAAGTCCAAAATGTTTTTTCAATGTTTTAGTGTTTTTTTTCACCAAAGTTAACTAATTTATTACTGATTCTTAAATTCTCTATAAAAGCCCATATTTAATTTGTTTTTCAACCACAGGTGTATAATTATAACAATAAAATATAAGTTATCACAAATATAAATTTAGAATAAAAACCAATATAAAATATAATATAAATTAGTTATGAAACCCATATATTATATGGGTTAATTTAAAAAAAAAAATAAAGGTCTAAATAATTGAGAACTTTGAATTTATATGAAAATAAGAAAAATAATAAATTATTAAAATTGAAATGTTTTTTATCTTTTAAATTTAAATAAATAAAAAAAAACTAATAAACTTTAATTTAAAAATTTTGAAATTAAAAGGTAAGCTCATTAATGAAATTAATATCCATTTATTAATATATTTATTGCAATTATTACATTAAAATATTATATGAAATTTAATAAAATAGGAAAACCCATAAAATAACACGTGGGAAAAAAAAATTCAAAATTATCAAAAATTGATATTTGTCAAATTGAATAAGAGTATGTTATGTGACAAAAAAGTTTTTTATTTATTAGGACGAATATATGATCGCTATGGGTTTAAGCGTTTTACATTGATTTCATCTAGATTGTTTTAGAAGAATGTCTTCTAATAATATATTTTCCGATAAACAATATGTATCTTTATTTTCCAATATTCCGATAGTATACAAGTTTTATTAAAACTATGAGAACGCTCGAATGGTATCACGACACGTTAACTGACCGAACTTTATTGCCTATAAAACCGATAACAAAGTGATCCACATCGATCCAATCTCCTGCTACGCACAAACACAAGACTACAAGAGTGCACTCACAATCTCAGCCACAACATAAACACCATGGTCAAAGCAATTACAGTTTATGAGCACGGCGGGCCTGAGGTCATCCTTCACCTAGCTAGCTTCTTTAAATTGTTTCTTAATTTCTTTCTTTCATTGAATAAAAAGAGTACTAATGGTGTTAGTTACTATTACAGGTCATGAAAT